AGCGCAGCTCTGCAGCAGGGTGGCAGCCTTGAGAGCACAGGTGGGTCTGTGCTGCATTGCTGCCTCTCTTTCCCCAGGTCACCACCTTCTCACGGCTGCTCACCAGTGCTGACGCTGCCTGCCTGGGGAGGGAGGTGCAGGGCAAGGCCCAGAGGCCCCAGATCCTGTTCCTGCAGCAGTTTGACACAGAGTACTCCTTCCTGAAGTGCATCCGGTGAGTCTGGGCCAGTGTTTTCCTGCTTGGAATGGGCTGTCAGCTGTGTGGAGGGTGCATGGGCAACGTGTTTGGAGTAGCACATATGGAAAAGAGAGGCTGTGCTGACAGTGGGCTCTGGGCTCTGCCCAGATGTCTGCTGATAAGGGACAAACCTTGACAGCTCCATCACATGAGATGGGATTTCGTGTTTTTCTCTCTCCTCCTGCAGCCGCCAAAGCTAATGTGAAGTGGCTGGTTCTGTGGTCTCTAATGTTTGATCTTTATACTTAGTGACTTTTGTTAAATCTGTTTTCACTCTTCAGAGAGTTCCTGGATTCCACTTCAGAAAATAAAGTCCTCATTATTCAGACAGACTTTGAAGATGGCTCTAAGGATGCCCAGCTCATCACCTCAGCCAAGTGAGTGAGGTGTGGAATGGTTCAGTTCTGCCTGGCCACCCCTCTCTGTGGTTAGTTATTGGTGCTGTTTGGGGATTTCACTCTCAGGAATTTGCAGAATTTATTCTGTAGCAGAATGAATCTTAATGCATTGATTGTATTTCAAATAATCCATATCCCAAATCAGAATAAGCGAAACTGGGTGAAATGAGCAGATAATCCCCTTTGTATTTGTGAATTCGGGCCACTGGCTGCAGAAGTCCTGAAGGGCTGAGGGTCATGGGATAATTCAGGGCACAGCTGGAGGTGGCAGCTGGGAGGAAGGAGTGGGAGTCACCTGTGTCTGTTCTGGGAGAGGATACGTGTCCTCTCTGAGCAGAGACCTGTGGCCATGGGCCTCTGTGTGCCTTTGCTCTGCCAACAGCATTTCCTCTTTGCTGCAGGTACGCTGTTGTCAATGAGATCAACAAGGTAGACCTGGGAGAGGTCTCTGTCTTTGTTTACTTTATCATGAAGCTTTCCCGGCTGGAAGGAGGAACATCCTACATGGGATTCCATGGAGGTGAGTGTGCCCATCTGTCCCTCCTTACTCTTCAGCTGCCTTCAGGCAATCATTTCTCTTGCTCATTCTTCCTTTAAATGCTGAAAACCTGGACTCAGTGTGTCTTGTGGGTAGTCAGAGCTGCCTCCCTGTCCCACAGGACTGCCTGGGGGATCAGTACCTGGCAGTCCTGGCTGGGAGCACCTTGCCTTGCCTGCTGACAGACAGGTCCCCTCTCCAGTCAGCTGGAGAGCAGCCACAAGGGTAACTCTGTGGGTGTGTTGTCCTCCAGAGGCTCTGGAGCAGGTGCTGATGTGTCCAGTAAAGTTCCTCTGGGTCTGGGGGCTTCTGAGAGCCTCAGAACCTTGGAACTGTCAGGCATGGATGTGTGCAGCAGCAGGTTCTGAGGGCATTGTGCTTTCCCCTCCTATAGCAAGAGGTGAGAGTTGGTGACCTCTGAAGGTAACCTCGGGCTGGCAGGTAATTCTGGGGGAGCTCTTCTGGAAGAGCAAGCTGCAGGCTAGGAGTGATACCTTGTTCTGTGCCTGTAGGGCTGTGGCAGTCAGTGCACATCGACGACCTCCGCAGATCCAAGTACATGATCTCTGACTTGACAGCCCTGCAGAACCTCACCATCAGCCAGGTGCTCTCTCAGGATCAAGGTGCAACCAGAGGTGAGCTGTGTGCTGGGGAAAGGGGAAGCTGTGGTCCCAGATTTGGCACTATGGGAACTGATGCCTGGCACAATGTATCTGATGACTTTCCCTGCTCAGCACCTGATGTTTTTGGGGGTCAGTCAACACCTGGCTTCCAACTTGTATTTATTTCATTACTACAACTTTAGGTCATCAAGCTAGTTAGTTTGGTATTTTTTCCTTTTCTTTTTGACAGAAATGTGGCATTTGCACTGCTCAGCAGCCTGAGTGCTCTTTCCTAGCACAGGAGGTAGCAAATGCTGCATGGCAGAGACTGACAAGGATCTTTCTTTGCCCTTACTCTCCTTCCTTTCACCACACTGCCTGACAGGAGTCAGGGAGAGCTTAAGGCATTAGCCCAGTGTCAGATTTCCTCCAGCTCTTGCTGCATGAAGCCTGACAGCCTGAGCAGCTGTGGCTGTGTTTGAGGTGAATCTCAGCTACTCATGCAGGTGCTAATGGGTCTCTGACAAATGTTCTGCTGCTCTGGGATGCAGTTGCTAAAATAAACTCTTATCTGACTGATGGAGAGTGCACTGCTGCTTTCTAACAAAAATTCTGCACCTTATCTGCAGCTCTGCCTGCCAATGGAGAAGCACAGCAGGAGGAGGTTGGAGCACCAGTGCCAGGAGCAGAGCACCATGAGGTCAGTTCAGGATACATTTGTTTGCCTCTCAGCTGTCACTGTGGCTCTCTGCTCTGTCATTCATGAGTGCAAACCACCTTTTGTGTTCCCCTGCACCTGAAACCAATCAGCAGTATTTGCGTCATGAATGTTACTGTTCAGGTACAAGTTCCTCCTCCCCACTACCCAGTCAATCATCATCACTAAAGAAATAAACCATTCTAAGGACTCTGTAATTCCTTAGTCATTTCATTCTTCTGATTTTTAAAAGTCAGCTCTAAGAATTTCTGTTGCCTTTCTCCTCCTGGAGGGGAGAGCTGTGGTCCTGAGCTTCACTCCAGCTGTGCACTCTGAGGTGGAGATGGAGCTGGCTTCGGACTAGGCTGTGCTGCAGCCACATTCACACTGCCTCGTGTGCCCCTGGCAGCCTCAGCTGGACATGCCCAGCATCAGGGACAGGGAGCATTTCCCAGGAAGGGCAGAAGATTTTTCCCTGGTCACATTGATTATTTCCATTTCTTTCCTCAAACTGCTGAATCTTTCCCCTACAGGAATCTCAACTCAGCACAAATGCTGTCTCACAGGCCAGTTTGAAAGGGCCACAGAAGCTGCATCATGTTCTTGACAGCAAAAGAGCTGAGAATTGCAGCCTGAGCTGAGGGAAGCTGGGAACAGGGATGCCAGGCAGCAGGCCATTTGAGGGAGCCCTGGACACCTTCCGAGGGAGTGTGCTGGGGACAGGAGGGTCACTCCAGGGGAATGACCTTGTTTTCCTGGGCAGGGTGAGATCCTGGACACCACAGTGCTGCTGAGGACCTGTGTGCAGAGTGCTGTGCGCATGCTGCGGGACCAGAACGAGGACCTGAGCCGGAGCAGGAGGAGAATTGAGATTCTGCTTGGCCTTTTCTCCAAAGAGGATGAGCTGAAAGGTGTGTGCTGCAGGGAGTCCCTGGACATCTGGAGACCACTAAAACAGTCAGTCAGCTCACTGGGGATGCAGAGGTCCTTGTTGTGGTGCAGGCAATGGGGCTTTCCCAAGAATGTGTGTACATGCTGCAGTGTGTTGGTGGGTGTAGGGCTTTTCAGCTGTTTAAGTGGTGGCTTTTTCTCTCGCTGTGCTGTCTGGTTTTTTCCCCACTTGGCCAATTATAGGAACAACTGTCAAATGCTGTGCTTGGTGGGGTATTTGGGTCCAAGCTAATAGAAGAGATAACACAGGTTCCCTGTTGTTTTGTAGCCTCTTTCCTGAAGATAACCAAGTCTCGTCTCTCCAGCCTGCTGAAGAAGCAAGAAGAAAATTCCCTTCACCCAGAAAACTGGGTGTTTCGGGAGGCTTCCAACCTCAGTGCTCTGCAAGAGGCAGGTACCTTCAGGTGAGGACAGCAGCACTGCCTTGTCACCTGCAGCCTCCCAGGAAGGGTCTGCAAGTGGCACCTGTGCAGCAGAGACAGGAGCTTTGTGTAATCTCAACGTTTGCAGTGTCAGTCTCCAGTCTGTGCTAGAAACTCTCTGAAGGCAATTTTAGCCTCTCTTGGGGAAGGGTGAGTTAGAGCTGCAGGGGCTGTACTGGGACAGGGATGCGCAGTGCTTGAGTGGAACAGTGGGATTACAGGTGAGCCAGGAGTGAGAGAAGTGCAGGGTTTTTTGTTGATAGTATTCTTTCCCATAATGGCAGAATTAGGATTCTGTCACATATTATTCTGTCACATGTCAGAATACTGACATGTGAAAGAATTAGTTACTCAGGGAAGGCACCTCCTATTGTGCTGATGTCATTGCTCACATTCCCTCTGGGTTTCTCCATCTCTCTCTCCCCAAAGGCACGCCCTGTGGAAGCGAGTGCAGAAGGTGGTCACTCCTTTCCTGGCTCTCCTGGTCGCTGTCATGGACAGGAATGGCAATCTGGAGCTGCTGGCCAGGGCAGGAACAAACTGGGTGACAAACCTGTGGATGTTCATCTTCAATGACACCAAATTCCTGAGTGTGGGGAGGAACAGGTGAGCCCAGGGGAGCAGCAGGAGGGCTGGGCTGGGCTGGGCTGGGCTGGGCTGGGCTGGCAGCAGCCCAGCACTGGCTCTAACCCCCGAGGCAGAGGGATGTTGTTTGTTGGCTGCTGTAGGAGGGCAGCTGGGCACTGCTCACAGTTCAGCCTGTTCTTCTCAGAGTCCTGCAGTTCCCTCCCCTTCTCTCTCCCCTCCCTCCTAGGGCTCAGTTTCTCTCTGCAGCCTCTGCCTCTGTTGTCTGCACTGTGCTTCCCAGACAAAAGCCCTGTGCCTTAATGACCTTTTAACCCCCCAGCCCTCAGCCAGAGATAATCGTGGTGCAGAACAACATGACGGTATCTGCTGATGCTGGGAATGAGATGCCCTTCAGCTGGAGGATAAAGGAGTACCTGGAAGAGATGTGGGTGGAGACTCAGTACATCCAAAACACTGAAGGTGAGAGCCTGGCTTCAGCATCTCCATCCACTGTCCTTTGAGCTCTGGTTTGTCATTGCTGTGCCCCTGCTGTCACTGGAGTCACCTTCAGTCCCTCTGTGCTCCTGTGAGCCAGCAGGAGCTGGCTTCTTTGTGCTTCTCACCATTCATCTTTCTCACCTATTTTGTGCCTTTGCATTCAAATAGCTGTGGAGCAGCCAAGAGTTAATGACAAGGTGAGATTCCAGAAATACAACATGACACGCCACTGGGCTGACAAGGCCTGGCCTGAGTCCCTCCTCAGTGCCCTGGATGCATCAGTAATTATTGAGGTGTCCATGTCTCTAGGATAGATGCTGTGTCAAAGCCAGCTTCCTCCTAACATCCAGCTTTTCTCTGCATCCTCATTTTCCAGGCCATGCTGAGAAGTTTGTGGAATACTTCCAGAAGACTGCCCTGGGAAAATTCATCTCTGTTCTGACTGGGGAAGAAAGGCAGCTGCTCTTTGAGTGCTACATCAGAGACTTTATTGTCTTGACTCTCAGTGTGTCCTCCCAGGAGCAGCTGCAGGTCAGGGGCTGGAAACCCTTTGGATGGGGAGAAGAGTGTGATGCCTCTGAATGTGTCCTTCTGAATCAGTCGTGCCTTGGGGAAAATTGCTGGGGTCACTCAGAAAGGCAGCATCTGTATAAATTGACATTTAAGGCTGTCTTTGTAGGGAAGTGATTCTCAACTTTCAGATATTTTTGCCACAGTACAAAATTAATTATAACAGTATTTTCTCACCTTTGGTTTTCTGTGTCCCACCCCTGCAGTGTCTGCGTGTGGCGTTCCTGTCTTGTGTTAAGGAGTGGATGGCAGAGTCCCCCTGGACAAAGGAGCTGGTGCCCTCCCTGCCCTGGGCCCACCTGGCACACAACCAGTTCAAGAGCCGCCTGCAGAACTTCTCCAGGATCCTGGCTGTGTACCCCTGTGTGACTGGCTACCTCCTGACCCAGGAAGAACGGAGAATTCCATGCTCTGAGATGGTAGAGTCACTCCCTCAGCCCTGGCAGGGAGCTCTGTCTGCACTGCTCTTCAGTCTCCTGTGGATTTCAGCCACAGCAGAGGGGGAAGCACAGGCTGGGGTTCCTCAGATTTGGGAATGATCTGCTGTGCTCTTATTGCTACAAGCAGGTTTTTAAATAGTTTGCCCTGCTTTTGCATTAGTTATTGGACATGCTAACGAGCCAAGCCACAAACATGAGAATTGCAGAGCTTAAAGTAATCAAGCAGGACATCATTCAGTAGAACATGTGGTTCTGAGAGCCCTAGGTCCATAAATAATTCTGAAATGCAGCTGTTTTTACCCCCGTCCCTGTGTGTGTGCAGGTTCTGGACGTGCTGGCTGCCATGGTGTGTGCTGAGGAGCTGGAGAAGCTGGTGCAGACAGCCTCCCCTGAGCTCTGGCTGCAGGGAGTGAAGAACCTCCATATGCCCATTGAATTCCTGTGCAAAGAGGAGAGTGCCCAGCGTAGAGGCAGCCACTGCCATCAGCTGCTGAGGAAGCTCAGGTAGGTACCAAACTCTGCTCACAGCCCTACTCTTTGCCTGGAGGTTCTCTGGGGCATTGGAGCAGGCTGAAGCTGTTCTGGTACTGCTTTTCTCAGGCTTTGCAAACCTTTCCAGGTTCCTGCTGGGCTCAAACACATACCAAGCAGCAAGAACGACATTTTTGTTCCCTCATCTCCTTGCAGATTCTCTCTCTAAATTTGGCAATATCATCTGGTACATTCTATCTGGGTTCAGGGGTTATTTAAAACTCTCCTCAGCTTGCTGTTAACTAGTAGTGTCTCCCCACTTCGTCCTCTATGCATAAGGACTCAAGAGATGGGGAATTTCACTGCCTCTTGTGTTTTGGAAGAAAGCCCAGAGCACTACCCCAGTTTCTCACAGACCTTGTTTAGTTTATTTGAAGTGAAGGAAGTGCAGCTAATTGTGATTGGTATTTTAAAAATTTTTTGAGATTGACGTTAGAGGTGTGAGAAAGTATGTCCACTGCTGCTGGTCCTGCTGCAGTGCTGCCTCCAGGCTAGGCCCTTGAGCCCCCTGGGTGAAGTGCTGGGATGTTCTGTCCTTGACAAAAACCCCTCTGGAAAGCCAAAGGGCAAAGCAAGTGAGAAGTGCAGGAGTGCTGTGGAGGGGAGCAGGAGCAGCAGTGAGCCCCTGGCTGCCCTGGTTGCCATTCCTGCTGTGGTGCCAGCCTGCTGTTCCCTCCAGGGCCTGCTGGAGCCGTGTGTTTGCCATGGCACTCTTCGTGGAACACGTCCTGTTGGACATCCACACCGTCATGCCAGAATTTGAGGATTTAGTGAGAAAATACACTTTGCTTCTTGCCAAGGTGAGCAAAGCTGCCATTTCACCTCTTCCCTCTTGAGCTGACCATGGGAATTCTCATCTCAGGTGTTGCAGCTGAGTCACTGGACCTTGTCCTTTCCCTCTGCAGTGTTTCCAGCATGATTCAGACATCAAGTCTCATCCAACCTTTTCTGCGGTGCTGAGAGTGCTGCATGAATGCAAGGATGAGGTCAGCAGCAGGCTCTGCAGGTACTGACACTGGGGCAGGCTGCAGGGGCCAGCAGGGACATTGCCTGTGTTGCCAGCACACTTGTGGCAGTGCTGCATGGGGTGCAGTGAAAGCCAAGGGAAGAGCAATGACCCTGCTTGGTTCTGCACCCTGAGCTGAGCAGTGAGCCAACTCTTGGTCTAGCTGCAGGTGAACATCTTGTTCAAGGCTTTTGGGGAGGCAGCACAGAAGCAGCTGTACTCATTGCTGTTTCTGGATTCCAGGCATGGTCTGGAGGTGTGTCCCATCTGCCTGGGAGAGCCAAAGGACCCCGTCTGTCTGCCCTGCAACCACGTGTTCTGCCACAAGTGCATCAGCCAGTGGCTGGTGCCAGCACAGATGTACTGTCCCTACTGCAGGGCTGTTGTGGAGGATTTGGAGTTAACTGTCACTGAGGAGCTCAGGTACTCCAGCTGCCCTCTCCAAGGTGGGAGTGTTGGGTGAGAAGGTTTTGTGAAGGAATTTGCAACTCTGAAGTGGTCAACACAAGCAGAATGGAGAGTGAACTCTGCTTCATCCCTCTGGAACTGAACAAGTCCTGTCTGTTCTGTTGTTTGAAAAAAGGGAAAAGCTGCCTTGGCCTCTGTAAAAACATGCAAATCACAGAATGGTTTGGGTTGGAAGGGACCTCAAGGATCATCTCATTGGAAAGGTTGAAAAGTATCTCCCTTGGGTGATTTTTGCTTGTGTGTGCTCAATTCCTCTGTGGTTTAAGAGGTTCTGTGTTTGCTTTTGCCCTTCCCAGAGCTGCCATAGCAAAGAAGGCCCTGTTCCGGCAGAGGTGCAATAATTTCTTCATTGACATGGTCACCACCATGTGCTTCAAGGACAACAAGCCCCCTGAGCCACAGGTGATCCAGAGCCTCCTGGATCTGCTGTTTGTTGAGAGAAAAACAGTCTTGAAAGACACAAGTGAGCTCCCTTCACCCTGACACTCAGTCTTACAGAGCTGGATCTGTCACCACCTTCTCTCAACTGCCAAATCTGTCCTTCTCTTGTCTCCACAGATCACTCTGCTGTCTACACAAAATTCCTGTCCCCTTTTCATGATGAGGTGGATAAAACTCCCATCATCCGCTCTGTGATGCTGAAGCTGCTCCTGAAGTACAGGTGAGCACATTCAGCTGAGGGAGGTTAGGCCAGGGCCAGGTTCAGCTCTGTTCCTCATCAAACCTATCCCATTGTTCTCCTCACCTCCCTGAGTTTCATTGACTCTGAATCCCTTTGTATTAGTCTTGCAGCTTGGCTGGCTTGCATGGGGCTTGTGGTGCAGTGTGAGCAGCCTGTGCAAGGTTTACCTGGCTGTCCCTCACTAACCCTGTGCTGAGGGTGGATGCCTGGGTTCTGCAAGGTGGCTGAGTAGTTGCTCTGATCAAGGTCAGCAAAGCAAAACTCCTCATTCATGGAGATTTAATCAGGATTTAAACTGATCTTATGTCTGCTCCACAGACCTTCCCATTCCCACAGCCTTCCCAGCCTCCCTTTGCAGGCAGGGCACAAAAGCCTCTTCTCAGGTGTGACCACCTCCTGAACCAGATGCCTTTTTCCCTGGAAGTGCTCATTGAGCACTGGTGGTGATCAAAGCCTGGCTCATTCCCAAATGTCACCTGCAAAAAAATCACAAGGGCTTCTCCATCTTGCAGCTGGATCCAGAGTTAACCCACCTGTCACACAGCTAACTCTGGGAGCTCTGCTGTGATTTAGAGCTGGGGCTGTCCTGTCAGCATGGCAGCTGTGTCAGGGGGTGTCTCTCTCTCCCTCTCTCTCTCTCTCTCTCTCTCTCTCTCTCTCTCTCTCTCTCTCTCCTGTAGCTTCAATGAAGTGAAAGATGATGTGCAGCGTTACCTGTCCCAGGTGGAGCACAGCAAGCTCCTAGAGAAAAATGATAAAAAAGAGCTCTACTTGCTTTTTGTCAACTGCTTGGAGGTAAGAGCTGGGCAAGTGACTTTGTAGTTAAAATCACCATTTGTGTTCTTGCTAAGGGACAGACAGGTTGAGTTTGGCATCCTGGAACAGGAATGTGTGTTATTCACAGCCTGCTCCTGGCTCTACCTCAGCTCCAAGCTTGGGAAGTGTAGGACAGCTGGGGCACATCCTGAAAATAGTATTTGGCGACATGGCAGAGGTTTAGAATGGGGGGGCAATGTGAGTGGTTTGGAAGGGTGCAGGGATGGTTTGCTGTGCTCGTGGCAGGCTGGGTGCCCTGGGGACACAGGGGTGGCTGAGTGGGGTGGCTCTGCCACTCACCAGTGTTCTGGCCTCTCTCTAGGATTCCATGTGTGAGAAGTTAGAGGACAGCCTGGGATGTGGGCATGGAAACAGTCTGCCTGAGGACAGAACCTTTCCAGAGAACTACCTGCCAGCCAGCAGCAGAGAGGCTCCCCAGGAAGCCTCTGTGGAATACCTGCAGGCCGTGGCTGAGGTGCGCCTGTGCCTGAGCAGGGCTGCAGAGCTCATCTTTGACCTGCAGCAGCACACGGGTGAGTCTGATTGCTCTGCTGGAAATGCTGCATGCAGGGCAGGTGGGCTGGACACAGGCAATGCCCTGTGCTCTGCTAGGACCTGTTTTAGTGCATGGCCAAGAAGGAGAGCAGCAACTCCCTTTTCCCTTGTCTGTGTCAGTCAGTGTCTGTCCCCTGTACCTCGTGTTAGAAGTACTCTGTAACTGGTAGAAAGGCTTTGCTGGTGACCCCAGTGTAGTTACATGGAAGTTAACACCTGTGGAAGGGATTTATTTTATCCTCCTGATGGTAACAATGAGATTTATTTAGAGCCCACTAAATTGAACTTTAAAGCATAAATGCTGCTTGAGACCCAGGACTGCTGTAAGGGTTATTGTTTTGTATGAATGAGAGTTCTGCACAGCTAGAAGGGATTAAGAGTTTACTATATTTATGAGTTTATACCTTCCCTGTCAAAGAAAGGCGTCATTGTGTGAAATCTGGCTGAGGATATGCTCCCGACAACACCCGAGGAGGGAAAGGCTCTGAAGTTCTTCTGTGTAATAACACAGTACTAATAAAGGGACTTGGTGCTACAGCTGGGGCAGACAGAAAAGTTTTACAGGATGGGATGTACTTTTGCCTCTTTGTTTTAACCTCTTTTTTGCCCTCCAGAGCCAGAGCAGATGAAGGAGATGCAGCGTTACCTGAAGAACGTGGAGGAGTTCTGCAACCTTGCCAGGAATGACTGGCACCGTGTGTACCTGGTCAGGAGGATTGCCAGCCAGCACGGGATGGCATTTGCTCAGAAGTTGGTCACAGAGCCACGGTTCAGTTGGGTGTTCCCAGCAGAAATTCTGCAGCAGGTAGACAAGAGGCATCTCCTGGTGATGGTTCTGGTCTCCTCTTTGCCTTCACTTTGTGCTGCTTTGGGGTGTTCCTAGCGTTGTGTGTCTCTTAGGGTCGGGCCAGAGTGGCAGTGGTTGGAGGTGGCTTGTTCTGGCTCTCAGGTGAATGGAGTCTCTCCTGGCAGCATCATGCCTGCTGCTGTTGCTCTGGGGAGCCTGAAATGCCCCAGTGCTCAGGAGGAAGAGGAGATTCTGCCACAGCTGGGTGGTTGTCCCCAGTGCTGTGCATGGCTGTTCCCTTGGCAGGTCCAGCACAGCCAGTACAACCACATGGACCGGTATCTGGTGTATGGGGAGCGGTACTGGGCCCTGCGCGACGCCGTGGGACGAGCCATGATGGAGGGCACGGCCCAGGGGCTGCTCGAGGCCCAGGAGGTACAGCCCAGTGCTCCCTCAGACCCCTGCTGGGCCCAGTCCTCCCTCCAGACCCCTGCTGGGTTTGCATGGCCCCAGCTCTGCTGTGTCCCTCTGGGCAGTGTCTGTTCCCAGCACCTGGGGCCTCTGCTGGGAGGTCACTGGGACTTGTGCTCAAGCACGTTTTCTTTACTTTCCCACCTGCACATTCCATCACCATAGCTGGGGCAGCTCTGGCCTGTTCCCAGCCACATCCTTCATTCTTCCCAGGCCTCCAGCAGCCCCCCAGCTCTGGAATCTGCCCACCTGCTCCTGGCCATCTTCCGAGAGGTCACTGCTCTGTATGGGAATCCAAGCCTTCATCCCAAGCAGCAGGTAGGACATCCCCCTTTGGCAGCTTGTGGCAAACCTGCTTTGTGGGTAAGGAGGAAGGGGATCTGAATCAGTGGTGGAGGAGCTTTGGTTCCTGTGCCCCAGCCAGGGTGATGGCCCAGAGCTGAGCAGGCTGTGGAGATTTTTGGGAGCAGGGTAACCCAGTGTGGGAAGCAGCTGCCAGTGCTCTTTGTTTAGGTGGGGGCAGTATCCTGATGGATACTGGAAAGCTTTAGCTCTTTCCAATCTGTGCTTTCAGCAAACAGAGGTGATGACTAGATTCATCCAGTGCTCCCGAGTGCTGAATTCCCCTGAGCTGAAGCTCCTTGCAGTTGCCCTGGTGAAGAACACCCTGCCTGGGCTGGTTGTGGAGCCACAGGGCCACAGCCAGCAGGGAGCCCTGGTGGAGATGGCTGTGCACATGGCTGCTGTGTTGCTCTGCGGGCACAGCCTTGTCCTGCAGCCCCTCAGGAACCTGGCCTTCCAGCCAGACACCATGCAGGTGAGGGCACAGAGCTTACATGCACTTCAGCTCATCCTTGGTTCTTGCCTGTGTCTGCTGGATCCTCTTTCTCAACAGCAATGCTCCAACTCAATGGTTGAGCTGTGAAACACTGGGTGGAATTATTTCAGTGCTGTTGGGGTTAATTAGCACAACACCAAGCTCTGGCCTGGTATCTTTTCAAGGAACCTCTCCATCCTGAGCAGGATGAATCAAATACCTTTGCTGATATTTGGGTGAGCAAGGCTGAGAGCAGCTGGCAGCTCCCACTGTGCTGACCTGCCTGCTCAGAGAGCTCTGGCTCCTCAGTCAGGGGGAGAGAGCTGCTTCTCTGCTATTCCTGGCTACCCAAGGTGTAAGGGAACATGCTGGTATGCGCCAGGGTGCATCAGCAATGCATTGCAGGATGTCTGGAGAGTGCACATGCAAGTCTTAACAATACTGACAGTTCTAAGAGTGGATTTTCACAGGTGAATTTGAAAATCTGCATCTGCGTCGCCTGCTTGACCTCTGCTCTCAGATGTCTCTTCTAACCCAATGTGAACAGAGAATCAGTGAGTGACTGCTACAGGACAGAGCTGATTCCCAGATCCATTTGTGACTGCTTTCCCCTTTCCCTCCTCAGAACTCCTTTCTGCCCACGATGCCTGAGGACATGATGGCTCAGGCAAGGACCTGGGAGGGAATGCATGGTCTACACTGGTATGGTGAGTGTTGCTGGCTGACTGGGGAAGGAATTCCTTGAGTTTGGAGAGTGAAACTGTTCCAAATATGAGGACAAACCCACTTCTTAGTATGAGTTATCTGTGGTAAATCCAGATTTGTAGACAGTTTGTGCGGGTGATGCACCAAAGGACATCCAGTGCTGTTTAGTCTTCAGACTGCAGCTGTCCACAGAGCATGAAGGGGCACAAAGGCAACACGAAGAGGGTGTGAGAGGAGAACTCTGCCACCTTACTGGCCAGCTTTGTCTCTGCTTCCCACAGCTGGACCTTCCTGCAGCAGGGAATGGGCGGGTGAGAGCATTCCTGCCCTCAGCAGTAGAATCTGTCCAGCTTTGATTCCTTGTTGCTCAAGGAGAAGCAACACTGAAAAATTCCTTGGCTTCATGCATGGGCCTGTAAGTCCTTTGGGCTTTGGGATAGTCAGGGCTTTTGATTAGATCTTGAAGCATATTTCCTACTTCAGGATGATGGTCCCTAGGAAAGGGAATAAAAAGGGCTGTATAAATCTGTCTTAGAATACTGTCCTGTTTGTTTCTCTCTTCACAGAATGTCCCAAAGGCCACCCCTGCACTGTGGGAGAGGTAAGAATTTGGGACTGGTGGGTATTTAAGCAGACAAAGTTTTCAACAACAAACTGTTTTATTTTGTTTGCTGGTTTTAATGTTCTGATGCACAGAGTTCCACTTCTAAACTCAGTATTATTGATCATTTTGTCATTGTAATGTAAAATTTGTCATACCCCTAGCATTTATACCATAGATCATCAGGCAGAGGCCCAGTTTGTAGCAGGGTTTGAATTAACCACTTAGAGGTTGGATTTTTGTTTCATTCCCTTTCTCTGCTGCAGAAGCTGTTTCTCTGGAATTCAGTGCTCTTCTGTTGCTTTTCCCAGTGTGGGCGCCCCATGGAAAAGAGCCGCTGTCCCGAATGCCACGTCATCATTGGAGGCAGAAACCACGTACCCGTGAAGGGCTTCCGTCGTTCCAGGTGGGCTTTGCTGCAATGCCTTTGCAGGGCTAAATGATGTAGGACTTGCCTGTGGTGCCCTCAAAGGCCAGAGGTACCAACCACTTCATGCTGCTCTCTGGAAGGTGTAAGGGAGAGATGTCCAAGCAAGAGTAATCAGGCAGCAAAACCAAAGAAATTTGCTTCTCTGTGCACAAAACTCACTGGAAGCCTTCACTCCTCTGTGGCACTTTGAATTGGCAGCTTTTATGGCATTCAAAGACATTATGGGTCAAAAAGGCATTGCTGGGTATCAGAGATGTCTTGTGTGGTTTTTGTCCAGGTAAAAAAAAAAAAACCATATATGCACTTTCCTACAGCAAACGTCCAGACAGAACTCAAACTGGCCACATCCTTGGAGATGTTGAGCACAGAAGGACACTGGGAACGTCTGACAGGGGTGTGTCCCCCGTGGTCTTTGTGCTGCTCCGTTTGCTCACCCACCTGTCCATGCTGCTGGGAGCCTCCAGAGACCCTCAGGTATCTTCCAGAAATGCTTCCAAGTGGTCACACAAAATATAGGGGAACCTTGGTATGCTGCTGGTCCTTTTCATCATACTGCCAAGTGACCAGTGCAGTCTGTCAGGATGCATAGACCAAAATTCCCTCCCTCCTTGCCCAGGAGGGATTTTGGTTAGTTCCTGCACTTCCATGCAGGCACATGCACCCAGCACTGCCTTGATTGGTGCATGCCGCGGCAAGCTATATACAGACACGAACGGAGACGGGGCAATCCGAATCAGTGTCGTGAGCTATTTATTTAGCACGTCAGTCTCAGGACAATGGAAACAGGATGTTAACAGCTCTCTGATCCAAATGGAATGCCAAGAAGATGTCACATTACAGCGTAGCATAAAGCCATCTCAGCCTAGATTTCAGGCAATCACACATAGAACAAAACATATTGACAAAAATTCTATCCAATCATATGAAACACACGTAATGGTAGTTAACACAATAGGGACTTATTTTCTAACACAATGGCTCGTTTATGAGAGACAAAACACAGAGACTCATTCATACTAACCTTCTAAGGATATACATTAAATAACCTTGTTGCAATCTATAAGGACACATTACAGAAGTCTGTTGTGCTATTTCTCACGTTTGCTCTACTGCTTAGAAAACTTTTCGCTGTATTAGCAATGTTCACAAGTCTGCTGTCTGAGGCCTGCCTTTTTAACCACTTTCTCAAAACCCTCTGATTTGGTGAATCCCAGCAGGTGCAGGTGGCAGGAGTCCCACAGGTGGGGGTGCCTGGCAGGACAGAGCTCTGTCTGCTTTGTGCTTCCCTGGATGTTTTTGGCTGTGCTCAACTCTTGCTTTTGTTGTCTTTAGTCCCTGGGAAGGATGATCAAGCCAACAGTGGATGATGTGGTGAGCTTCCTGCAGCAGCACATTCAGGAGGACTTGGCACAGCTGACCAGGATTTTGGGGAAGAGTGTGGATGACACTATCAACATCCTGCACCTGGTGCTCAGCAGCCTCCTGCAGGCCCCCCGGCGGCAGCCAGGCCAGTGTTAAGAAAAGCCACCTGCCCTGTCACATCTGGGGCTCTGGTTGAAGGGCTGTGGCCTTGCAGCCACCTTGCTGATAAACCTCTTCACCCCTAAACATCAGCAGCTGAGCTGAAGAGAAAAATAGAGAGTTTGAAGCTTATTTCTTACTGTAAGGAGGGAAGAATTTTTGTCTGTTTGCTTCTTTCAGTCAAGTACGTGAGGTTTGCAAGGTTTGGTGCAGTTGATAACTCTGAAAATGAATTATTGACAAAACAGTGTCATGACAGATGGGCAGAGCTTGCAGCTCCTGAGCAGGGCTGCTTCCCAGCACAGCAGCTTGTTGTGAATCCCTGTTCCGTGCTGCCTCTCAGTGACTCCCAGAAGCTCTTGGGAGAAGAGGGATGGCACAGTGGGGTTCATGGTGGGGTCTGGAGTCACTGTGGCACAGAGGCATTAATGTGTAAGTAGCCCATATTTGGACTGTGGGACAGCACCAGTCAGTATTCCAAGCTTCACTCTGTCATGGGACATGGTCTGAGCTTGGACAATATGTTCAGTACTTTTGGGGTTAGGAAGTTGTGTAAATGTCCCCATCATTCACATGAAGCTCCTGGAAACCTGGATCACTGTGTGATGCTTGGGAGTCATTCTCCAGCTGAACCAAAATACTCAGTTAACTTCTAGCACCCATGAATCTGTGCTTTCTTTTCACTGAAATACTGCAGATATAAGAGGTGAAATATTCCTGTTGCAGGGATGGTGTGGTTTGATGAGTTTCTGTCCACCAAGGACAAGAGAAACAAATGGGAAGAAATTGTTGCAAGCACAATTATTGTTCCTGAATTGGAGGTGAGAAATCTGCTATACAGAGTCAGTAGCTGAGCAGTTCAAAATGCACTGGAAATCTCATGTGTTGTAATATCTGTGCTACACTTTTCACCTGGCTGTTCCTAAAGCCAGCCCATCCATGGCACAGCTGCTGGTTAAGGATTAGCCATCTTTATTCTGCCGGGGGAAATGGGAGCCTGAGACTGGAGTTGTTCTGGGATGAATTTGTATAGCTGGAAAAGCAGAAATGGCTTAGCTCTTTTGAAGGTATTTCACAATATCCAATAACTTACTATTTTTAAAATGCAGAATTTGGATAAAAAACTTCTGAAGTTAAACCGACAGATACAAGAGGATGAGAGAATCTCTTCCAACCCCATAGTGAAAATAGTGTATGGGGACCCAGCTGCATTCCTGTCCCAGCTGCCACAGGACAGCCACATCCACCATTCCAGGATGTGGAGCTGCCGCAGGAGGGTTTCAGTGGAGAACCTGGGCCACATTGTGCAGCAGAAGAATGCCAAGGACACCGTCCCTCTCCTCTGGAAATTCCTGCAGAAGGTGGGGCTGCTACAGGGGTGAGAGCCTGGGATTGCCCAGGACTAAGCCACATTTAGATTATCTCAGTACTTGCTATGATCTTGAGAATGAACATGGAAGTTATTGTTGTCTTTTAAACATTTAAGAAGTAATTCCATAAAAGTATTCCCAACTAATTTGTCCAAGCACAGCTTTACCCACAAGTTCCCATTCCTCTTCCAGGAAAGTGAGCTGAGGCTGGTGAAATTCCTACCAGAGATTCTGGCTCTACAGAAAGATTTGGTGAGGCAATTCCAGAACACAGCAGAGATCAAAGACTGCTCCATCAGGGAATTCTTCAGGGAGCCCCACTCAGGTGAGGAGACTCTGTCAAAGTTGTAATTAATGAAACAGAAAATGCTGGATTGTCTTGTTGAAAGTGAAGAGGAAAATTCTCCATTTCCTTTTAATTCTCATCTGAATGAACTGGAGACTTGAAGAGAGTTGGAAAAGTTACCAGATGACTTTTAAGGAATTAAGTACAGTGTAGTAGGAGTCCTTGTAAAGCATATGTATTGTATACGTGGCCTTGCCCAGATCCTAGTTGTTCTAAATGAGCTACAGCTGTGAAGTCCTTAATTTGGCAGCAGCTGTGGCTCGTGAAGGCAACTGGAATAAAAGGGGGTGGGCTTTCCAGTCAGGGAGAGCCTGGCAAGAGCTCTGACTATGAAGCCACAAGACACTGCTGAGAAGAACTGCAGGCAATAATGGAAAAGTAACAAACTGAGCAGATGACTCCATTTGATGCCTTTAGAAAGGTGTTTGGTGTCTGTTTAGTCTCTTGAGCAGTTGGAGCAATTGCCTGGAGTTCAGTGGTGTGCGCTGAAGATCCCTGCATTGGAAAGTTTCACCAGGAAAAGGTGTTTCATGGATTTATTTTTCTGTTGTTTCTCAGGTGTGATGAGGGACCTGTTGGAGAGGAGAGTGAATGTGTTTCTGTCTGTCTGGAATAAGCTGAGAAGCTCCCTGGACACCAATGGTGAGCAGCTTCTTTCCCAGCCCTGCTCCTCCACTGCTTCTCGTTCTGAGTTCAGATTCCTCCCATCACTGATGCTGAGGCATATCCTCAAAGCTGGGCTTGGCCATTGAATTTTAAGAATGTAGATACAAGGGGAGGGATTTGTTTCCCTGTTGTAGTATTCTTACCTGAGCTTGTTTCCTTTCTCACCTGAACTTGTTCCCTTTCGTGCTTGCCCCTAACGCTGAGTGCGCGGCTTTTCTCAGCTCAGTACCTCCTTCTGCCTTGGCTCAGCCTGGGCTGGCTCTGGGCCTTCTCAAACACTGCTGTCTGTATTTCAGGGGAAATCAAGCTGCCTGAAAGCTACTGTAATGCCGAGCTGAGCCTGGACAGCAGGCTGGAGGTGCTGCTGCCGCGGCGGCAGGGGCTGGGGCTGTGCTCCACGGCACTGGCCAGTTACCTCATTGGGCTGCACAACGACTTCGTATACTCTGTCATCAGAGACACTGAGGAGGATGACAGGTGTGCTGCTGCTCTGCTCCTTGGGCTCTGCTGCATCCCCTGCTCCCTCTCAGGCAGCTTTCCTTGCTCCACAGAGGCCTCTCCCTCTGAACACAGGCCCTTTGCTCCCTGCAGATACCTGGTCAGCCCCTCAGAAGTGGCCGACCTGCACCTGATCAGTTATGATGTGGAGAGGGACCTGATCCCTCTGATCCTGTCCAACTGCCAGTACAGCATGGAGAAGGGAGGGGAGACCTTGCAGGACTTTGATCTGGAGAGGATCCAGCAGCAAGTGATCAGCAAGTTCCTACAGGGGAAGCCACTCATCAGGCTAACGGTAGGAGGGGCAGGGCTGTGCAGCCAGGAGGGCACTTTCCAGCAGCGTTCCAGGCTTCACATCCATGAGTTTCTCTCTTGACAGGGAATCCCCACCCTGGTGTACAGACATGACCGGAACAATGAGCAGCTGTTCAGTGATGTCAGGAACAAGCTGGAGCAGGTGGGTTTCTGCCTTGCAGGAAGGCAGAGCAAGCATGAAATCCCTGATTTTACAAGGGTTTTCTATGCCTTGCCTTGTCTATCCAAAGGCTTGCTTGCTGATTTCTTAGCAGGCCTTGGGTATGTGCAATCTGGTCTTGTGCTGTCAGTCAGGATTTACAAAAAGAAGGGAGATAGTTCAGCATTTCAGTTTCCTACATCTTGGGCTCTGTTATCTTCCTTGAGTAATTGGAACAGAAAAAGGAGTGGCTCTAAAACAGTATTACCTGTGACTTTTGTGTTTTTCAGACTGCTCTGCCCAGTTCTGTGATGAACATGATCAGTGGGGAGCTGCAGTCCTACAGTGATGTGTGTGATGCTCTGTCCCTCACTGAGATTACCCTGAGCTTCCTGGCCGTTGCTGGTGAGAATGCTGACATGCTGCTGACTGACTACATTGAGGAAGTCCTGCAGATGGGGGATCAGACAGACCCTCACTTGCTGCAGGTAAGTCCTGAGGGCAAAGCTCGGATTTTTGTGGGTTTCTGGTTTATGCTAAATCCAGCCTGTGTGACAGAGCCCTCTCACTTTCCCACTGCCTGTTGTGGTATCAAAAACTGGCTTACTGAGGACAGATGGGCTCCACCGAGGCCAAGGGGCTGGATGAGCTCTGTGCTGAGCTCTCTTGGGCAGGGCAGGCTGGGGACGGGCTCCAAGGACATCCCTCACATCCACAGATGTCCTTCTCTTCCAGGCCCTCAGACGGTGCCAGCTCAGGCACAGCATAGCCCTGTGGCAGCTCCTGTGTGCCCACAAATCTGAGCAGCTGCTGCGCCTCGGCAGGGTATGGCACCCCCAGCACCTCTGTGTGCCCTCCTCTGCTCTGCCATGCTCTGCTCTGCCTGCAGCTGTTCAAATGTGTCTTTGGGTTTTTTCTCCCCTCGCTGCATTTTCAGGATCCTTTTGCAGATGTCAGTCGTGCCTACAAAGAAGAGCTCACCCCAGAGCTTGTCAAGCTCCTGCACACCTTCCTGGTCCACTCCAGCCTGGAAACCTTCCTGCAGGAGCTCCATGAAATGATCATCCTGAAGTTGAGAGGTGTCCAAGCTGTGGAGGAATTCAATCCCATGTGGAGGTAGGAATTACACGCCCAAAGGCACCACAGTTGTTACTAACTGACACTTCTCTGCCTCTGAGCATGCACACAGTGGGAATACCCCCTTGGCACATGCACGTCCTGGGGGACACTGCCCAGGCAGCACCATTAGGAATATCCACACCCGTTTCTGGCAGGTGTCACTTCCATCTCACACAGGCTATCTTGGAAACACTGCTGGACCACTCCAGGAGGTGCTGTCCAGGGCACAAACAACAGCACTTCTGCAGAAACTTGGATAAAATAATAACAGAATCACAAATTCATTAAGGCTGGAAAAAAATCTCCATGGTGCTCAAGGCCAGCCTTCAGGGATAGGCACACAGCTCTGCACAGGCACAGCTCAGCCCCAGAGCTCAGCTGTGCCCTGCAGCCTCCCCTTGCTGGCCTCTGTGCCTCCACCTGGCTGTTTAACCCTTGTCACTACACACACACCCCTGTTCAGTTGTGTATTGAGTATTTTGGGTGCTGCAGTGCACTTGTATTGTGGCACTTGAGGTTTGCTCTAACCCTGCTGTTAATGCCATTCTGCTCTGTCTTCCAGCCTCAAGGAATCACTCTTGCCTTACCTTGATGCCAAAGGCTCTGAATTAGCTGCGGAGCTGGAAGACTCATTCCCAGATGAGATTCTTCTGTCTCATGCTGCTGGTACCTGGAAAGCAGCTGCTGTCTTCAAGAGGGAGCACAGGGACAGTTAGGACAGAACACTGCCAGGGAATGCCACAACACCCATGTCAGGGCTTCTGGGACTCTGGGCATTTGTTTGGGCCTTGTTGGTTGTTCTTTGGGGTTGTTGTTTTTACACCTGATGTGAAGAGTGGCCGTGGAGGAAGGGAAGGGTGAAAAAGACCCAGCAACTTGGTGTGAAGCCTGGATTGCCACAGCTCCAGAGCCACTGGAGGAACATGAATATGAAAAATGCGTATTTTATTATTGGCTTTTTTTCAAATATTAGGATGAATATTATATGTGTGATGTTAGAAAGTTATGCTGTATTAATTTTCTCAAATATAGTTTTAGGTTATAACATAATGTTGAAATAGAAACTATGTATGTGGGATATTTTTTTAAAGAAAGGAATGAGGTACTCACACCAGATAGCAGCCACAGGACACCTAAATGTTTCAGAAAAAGAGGATTTATTGCCCCATTATCAAAAGAAACGAACTTCTTCCCACCTTGCTCAGCTATGACAACACTGTTAGGATTAAGAGGAAGAAGTTGACGATGACCAGACAAAATCCTTTGTTTGAATGGAGTTTATGCATCATGTATGAAGTGTATGACTATGCAACAGGCTATTGCTTTTAAGGGTTAATCCTCTGGTAACGGGTATCCTTTTTCGGGCTTATTTTGCCCAGAAAAAGGTACCCGGACATCCATAAATCTTTGTTTCTGTTGTCTCATATTGTCCTGTGATAAATAGGTATGATTTGTGCTGATAGAAACTGAAACAGTAATCGATATTGGTACAGTAATTGATATTTGGGAACAATAAAATAGTTAAAAAGTTGTAATGCTAAAGAAGAGAGGGAGAGGAGGGGCTCTACCTCCCCTCCCAGCAGATGTTCACAAGGACAGGCAAAAAGAAGCTGAAGACAGAGTTGCTAAAAATGAGCAGAAAGGAAGCAAAACCTGGTGGGGTCCCAGAAAATGCTAATTATAAGGGATTTATTGCCTTGATATGTAGATGCAGTGATACATTAGTCTTGGCTTACATTGTACTGGCTTGATGCGCATGTGTAACCCAAAGGTGAATTAAAGGAAAAGAAGAGGACTACAGAGCCTTCATCAGTGATGACCGTCAAAGACTGGTGCGACCACCAAACCGAGTGGTGGCGCATGCGTAGTAAAGGTGGTAATGAAGGCGGAGATAGAGACATGACGAACCGAAAATAGGAGGAGATGGCATTGACACATGGCATATAAGGGGTGATTTTCACTTAGCAAGCTTGTACGTGATGTGGCAAGGGTCATTGAACCCTGCCCTCCGTACCCCGCGGTTATCTTTTGCTTATGCGCTATTATTGGAACCAAATTATCCCTTATTTTAATCAAATTACATTGTATCCAATTTTATATATTTTTATTTTAACTATGCAATTAAAATTGTTACTACTTTTAATATTGTTTGGTT